GAAATGATACAGCCTTGAAGGTGGCTTAGACTGGCATGTTGTAGCTTCTAGGTAAAGTTGCAAACCATGGATAATTTTAGGAACAACTTCAGAAGTTCTGCGGCTCAGCTGAAACTTTGTCACCTTTCCTATGCCAAATGCTACCTGAAAACTTTAAAAGGATAATTCTCTGGCCTGAACTGGCCTGAACTGTTAGTCAGCTTCTTCCATGTGCATTGATTTTGATGGCTGAATATTATAGTTTTTTTTTTTTTCTTTTTTCAGATTAGTTGAAACAAGAAAGCATCTGATGTACCTCAGAGGGTTAGGGATTTTTTTTTTAATCATATGGAAATTATAATGGTTCTCTGCACTGTGAGTCTGGATGTGGCTTATCATCTAATTGATTTGCACTGTGCAATTTCTTGATCCTGTGATGGAATGTGCACCTGGAGAAGCAGTGGAGGGGAGTCTTGGCAGCACAGAGCTTTCTGAAGGAGCAGACAAATGCATTACACAGAGAACATTAAGATACTTCAAACTCGAGCTGGATGGGAGAGGAAGAAATTTAGAGAAACCACACTCTAGAATCTCTTAGGATATATCAAATACAGGGGTGTCAAACCTGCGCCCGCGGCCCAGATGTGTCATGCACTGGCCACCCTCACCCCAGTGGCGGGATTCATTTACTTCTGAATGAATGGACTTCATTCATTCATTCTGCACATGTGCAGCCCTCACACATTACTTTGGGGCGGGTGGGCAGAGCCTCCTGCAGCCGCCACTACCGGTTTGCCCGAACTGGAGAGAACCAGCTGAATATCACCTCTGCCCCACCCTCAGTTTAGAGAAAGGGGAAAAAAGTTGTGATATGTCATGTGAAGACAAGTGTCATCATGAGATTGATATCCCTGATTTAACAGGTTAGAAGGTTATAGTTTTAGTTTGCAATGTTCTGTCCATTCCGTATAAGGGATTGGGTTCAATTAGATTTCATTATGCCATCTATAGGCTTTGGCCTGACAATCCAGATGGCAATCGATCTTCTCTGTCAGAGACTTTTTTCTCCCCTGTTTGTAGCCATCCTTCTAATTACATTATATCATATAAGACAGAAGGAGAAAAATAATTTAAAATGAGACCAGGGATATCAGTATATTAAAGATGAAGTAGCAGAATATTATTCGGGTGTTATTATTCTTTGCTTTTTTTGTCCATGGTTATTAAAGAAAAAAGTTGCAGATGGCATTTTAAAGAATGTATGAAAGAGGTCAAACATAAAACATTCAATGTTAATAAAATCAATATTAAGAATCAAATATCATAGAGTTGGGAGGGAATATAGAGGTTTTCTAGAATTCAGGTGGTTTGCATTCAGGCAGCCAAGTATATGCTGCCAGGTGAGGGAGAGCATGAATAGACAATTTCTGAGAGTCATTAAGGTAAGTCTCCCTCACCTGTGCTGCCTCCATCATCCTCTCTGTGCTGGCCACTTGTACTTATCCATGACCCGTTGCATTTCTCTTGTACCCTTACAGATCCTTCCTGACTCTTGCCTTCCTCGCACATGCCTGCCCATCCTCCCTGTCCCTTTCTTCCTTGCACCCTCCTCCCACCTGGCAGCAGCCACTTATCTACCTGCCTGCCTCAATGCAAGCCACCTGCTACTTTCAGCTTTTTGCTTCATTCTCTGCTGATGTGGTTGTAGGAAGCCAGCAAGAAGTTGCCTTGTGTAACAAACACGGGATTTGGTAACTGGGACTGCAGGGATTGCTGTCACTAATCAATATGATTCGGCTTTATGGCCACATCACTTGGTGATGGAAATTCAAATCCCAATTCCCATCATAAGTTAATTGTATCTTGTATTCTTTCTATTTCCCATCATTTCTTTCTTTCTCTTCAGCATTTTAGAGCCTTCTGAATATATCCAAGCTGTCTAATTTATTTTTTTCTTGTTTTTCCTTTTTGTGGGAATATTTCAATTCTTGGGACCTCATTTCATAAAACTTCCCTTCTTAGACAGACAGGCAGATTGACAGACAGACAAATTCTAATTACAATAATAAAATATAATATAAGCTAAAAGAAAGGACGAAGAGAAAGAATAGAAGATGCAAAAGAGAAAGAAAATGCAATAGAAAAGAATCTAGTAAAAATGAAATATATAAATAAATGAATTTCAGGTCTTATCACTACAAATATAAACAAGTTTTGTAATACTTCACCCACTCTTTGTGGCCAATTATCTCTTCATCTCACATCCAATCTCTGATCTATACACAAATCCATAAAGCATCAACTGTTTGGCCCTAACGTGAGCAGAAATTCCATTAAGGGTTACAAAAAATGATAATATATCTTATTTTAACCTTGATCAAATAAACTAACTTTATATTCTTTCCTTTTTCTTCTACTGGTCTTAATCTTTAATCCATTCAAGTTATGTTTTAGAATTTGAAAATTTCATTTTTTCTTTGTCTGTTTTCAAAAGTTTCTTGAAAGCTTTCACAAATCTCTTTTGTATTCCCATTATAAAAAATTATCCAGATCACTCTCATTTTATTATTTTTATTTTCTTTTGAGTTTTCAAACATCAGCCAGTTTCTTTGATTTGCCCAATGAACCATCCCTTTCCATTTCATTCCCACAGCCCATCATTTGCAGATCCATTTCTATCTTTGAAATAAATCTTATTCATCATCTGCTATTTCTTCTGTAATGTCTTTTGAACATGCTGTATCCATTGAAGCAAATGTTATTATTAACCCTGTTGATACTAAATTCTGATTGAATTATTCAAAAGTGCCCTTCAATATTTTCAATATTTTGTATTGCTTTATATCTCAGTTAATTAGGTGTTAATCAGTTTTTTAATTATTTTTCTTCTTTAATTAAAACCTATAGTTCCCTCTACTATCCACTTTTTAAAAATTGCTTATTTTATCTTGCAAAAATCCAAACAAATCTACTTCTCATGAGAAGAATTCTTTATAATTAATTCAAAAATCTTATTACAAATGTATCTATACCTGTAATCCATTCTAATGTTATTGTTTTATTTAGCTTTTTGCTGTTTATTTCATTTAA